CGCGGCCTGTGTCTTGCACGAAAGGGGGTCTCTACGGTCCAATGGCCAATATTTGCGAGCTCGGCGAGCCGCTGCTGCCCGCGCGGCGTGGCCGCCGATATCTGGCAAACGAAGGGGTGCAGAGCTCCCGCCGCTCCAGATGAGGCTGGCCTGGAGTGGCTTGAGTTTAAGCCCGTCGAAATCGCAATCGCTGGCCCTGCCGCTGAACTTGGCGCGATCTGGCTGAATCGCCCCGCGATGAATTAAGGCGGCCAGTCAGCCTGAACCCACTGGCCTCGGGGCGCAGAAGTGCGATCTCGACTGCGCGGATCACGGCCCGACGCAACGTGCCCCCTCGAAGGCGGTCGGTCGATGCGTGGTAGGTCGCGTGCCTGTAGCCGAAGGCCCAGAGGGATTCTGAAGATCGCGTTTGGTTCAGGTTCAGGCGCGAGGCTGTCCCAGTGGAGATCTTTGAACACCTCCGTAATCTGCTCTGCTAGCTGCTCTTGTCGTCTCCGTTTGGACTCTCGCATGGCCTCTTGCCGCTAGCTGTTCGGACCAAGAAGTCGGCGGGGATCGATTGGGCTGTTGGCAATGGCTCGGCATCAGAAAGCGCGCGATTCCACCGCGTGTTTTTGTGAGCCATGGCTGAAATATTTAATGCGGAATGAAATTTCCAAGGCGCTCGAGGAACAGCGGGTGCCTGGGTTGCGTCGGACTGCTGGCGGATGGCGATGACGCGATCGATGGCATCGGTTGCAAGTGGCCGAGCCGTTGGCGTGAGGCTTCAATCTGCCCTCCAGCGTGCGAGTCCACGAAGTCTTGCCCCGCTCCGACGGGGGCATGTTCCAGTCGCCCAGGAGGACCCACGTGGCTTTCAATCGCGGGAGAAACTCTGCCGACCGAATGAGCGTCCAGGTGCCAGGTAACCAGCGGGAGGCAACTGCAATCTTTCCCGCGCGAGCGCGCCGACGACTCGGGCAGAAGCCCCGAGTCGGACGAGAGTTCGACCGAAGCAAAACTCAGCGGACCTCCCATGCCCGAAGCTGGCGATAGCAGCCGTTTCGCGGCAGACCGACCACTCGCCGCCAGGCGTGCCAGCAGCGGAGCGACCCTATGGCGTGGCCTCGGTGTTGACCATGCGCAATCCACCCTTGCGCAACTCTGCTTTTGCTACGCGAGGCCGTTGCGCGCGCGAGAGTTTCAACCGTGCCACTGAGAGCGCAAACGCTGGCCTGGCCGTTGAAGAAGTTGGAAGCCAGTGGGCCCCGCTCGGACATTTTTGCGAAGAGTGAATGTTAACGTGGTCAACAATTTTGCGAAGCTGTGCCGGCTATGTTCGATCGTTTCTTGTCGACCAGGTGGGGGCCGGTGGCCCCTCCATCCCCTCCGCTGGTCCCGATGAACTCGTTCTGGCGCCGCTGGTGGCTGAGGCGCTGGCGCGGGGGCCAGAGTGCCGCTAGAAGAACGAGCAGTTGAGACTTCCTGCAGCATCACCAGGACGCTGAATAGCTCGACGAAGGGCCGACCTCGATTTGAAATCTGGTCTCGGCCTTCGCGAGCACTGCTCTGCACTGGTCGTCGGCAGCTTTGCGAAGCTCCTCATTGCTGGCGTCGGCGGCGGCGGCGGGGTCAGCTTCCGAAGGCCGGGCCTGCGCCGACGCCCGCGTTGAAACCTGTGCCGGCGGCCGCGTTCTCCTGGTCGACACTGACTCGCTTGCTGGGGTAGGACCTGATCCCCTTGGCTTGCCTCGCTGCCTCTTGAGCTGTGGCCTGGAGCTTGGCAACCTCCCCAATCTTGGCCTGAATTTCCGCCTCGACCTGTTTGGGCTGGCCCTGCGCCTCGCCAGTGAGCTCCGGAAGATCCCCGAATGGCGAATCGTCCACCGCGAGGACGATCCTCCGGCCATCAGGAATATATCCAGGCTTGGCCGTGTGCGCTGTGGCGTGCTCAGCGAGCTTCTTGACCGCAGCCGCATGGCGCTGCTTGGCACCCTGGTACTCGAAGGAACCCTGCTGAGCGTTGGCGTCGGCATGTGCGGCTGCTGGCTTGGGCCACAGCGTACGCAGTCTTCTGCATGGCCCGATGTTTCTGCTCGATGAAGCGGGGGAGGTTGTGCACGGCTTCATGAGGCGAGCGGGCCTTGACCAAACTCTGCCCGTAGTTGTTCTGGAGGCGCTGGAGGGTGCCAGTGTCCTCCTGCAGCGCTGGGCACGCAGCCAGCTGAGCGAGAAGAGGGGTCGGGTCGGAATCGTACTCAAACGCCGAATCGGTTCTTGCACCATGGTGCCAGAGTGAGCCTCGACCAAAGCGGCTCCATTCTATGTTTGGTGTTTTTGGCCCGGGGCGTGTAGAGGTCGATGAGCGACATGCGCTTCGTGTACTTACCACCGCGCATGATGATCCTGAAGTCCTGAAGTTGAAAGCCCATTTTCTGCAACACTGGTGCCACGTGAGGGCGCTGCCGCGTCCTGGCATCGGGAAGCTGATGGGGCCCGGGCGTTTGGAAACATCTGACCCCGCTGGTGGCCATCTCCAAGCCCAGACCCCCTCGAGTCGTGAACAAAATCACGACGGAATGTTTTTCGCTATTTTCGCCCTCTGGAGGTCCTCGCCAGGCCTCGGGACCGTCAAAAACGACTCAGGATGAAAACCCGGTCCCGGGGAAAGGGTCCAGACCTCTGGGGGTCGACGTCATGAACAAATCACGACGTCGGGGGTCTGGGGACCTGGGCGAACGTGCCGACAACGTGCTCGGACTAGAGCGATCCCTTCTGCCTGGAGGCCTCCCAGGAAGACATCATGAGCCAAAAGGGCTACGGAAGGGACAGAGGGGGAGGGGGAGAAGAAGGCGGGGGAGGGAAAAAGGGAATGGATAGCAGGAGCTTGTGGATCGATGGATTGATACGGTGCGCTCGTGCGAACGCCTCATTGCTCGCTGATTGCTCGCAAATGGTTCAAGACATGCCGACCGATACGGTGCCGGTGTCCTTCATCATCTGGACTTGGCTGGAAAGCTGGGGTCTCCCACGAGCATTTTGGCTCATGGGCATACCGGGATTGTGCAACGTAGCCGCATCAAACTTAGATGTGTCTACGTGTATCAATTTTTCTTACGGGCTTCGAACTCAGTTCTTTGGCAAACGTCCTACGCATCTGCCCCTAACTAACGACCATCTAAAGGGGGCCCGACCTCATCCTACTCCTTGTGCTCCTCAACCTGCTCCTCCCGCCCTGTGAGGAAAGCTTGGGCTTGTTATCCTGCGTAATTGCCTCCTGTCACTGATCGCCTGCAACCGGCTTTGGGCGACTGGGGGCTTGTCAAGCATCGTCCAGAGAATCACTAGCAAGCTCGATAGGCAGAGGGATACACACATACATATAGACATATATATATACATACATATGTGTGTGTTCACAGATATACATGCGTACGTCGGTCAAATTGGCGGGTTCCCCAAACCCTGAACCCCAAAATGTCGACATCTCTTGACGGGGCGATGTCTTTGCTGTCGCCAGCTTCCGCGGGCCGAACCGCCGCCGCTTTTAGTCCTTCCGCCGAGGAAGCGATGCCGATTCCCTCGATCCGCGAAGGCAGGGCCGTTTTTGGAACGCCTCAAATGTATACGTGTGTATGACTGTGCCAACATATGCCTATACGACCAATCTTCGCGCGATAAGACGGGAAGGGGGGAGTTGGGGGGAAAGAGTAATCAACTGACAACAACTGCGATGACTGTGATGGCGATGAGATGGCGACATTGCACGATGACGCTCAAGGTGGTAACTAATAATGGTGATTGTAGTGAAGCCGACACAGCCGCGATGGAGCTCACACCACATGAAAGCGACCTCGTGTTTGACTTCAATCAACTGGTCTCACTACAGGTTTGACCATCTATCTTATTGCCGATCTTGGAATCCATCTCACAATCGATCCCACTACTCGTCTCGCAATTTATCTCACTTTCGATCTAATTATCAACCTTTCAACAGATATCGCGACCGATATCACAGCGAGTGGCGTCCAGTACGGTCGGTACAACAGCGGGGCAATATCTGGACACCATCGGAGCACTGGCGCGCCACATAAACGCCACCACGACGGACATTACTACGGTCAATATCGGTCCCACTATCAATCTCAATATCGATTTCACAAGAGATCTCACTGTCGACCTCACAAGAGATCTCACGCGACACCACCAGGACACCACGATGGGGCACCCCCAGCCACGGCGGGCCACCCCAAGCCAAAGGTCTGTTGTGATCGATCACACAATCGATCTTTCGATCTCACGACCGATTTCACGATCACGAGCGGTCACGCAATCGATCTCGCTATCGAAATGACTATCGGTCTCACAACTGATCTCACGAACCACCATCACGACACCACGGCGGGACACCCAGAGCCACGGTCGGGACACCCCGCGCCACCGACGGGGTACTCCTCACCACTGGCGGGGCACCCCCGCGCCACCGACGGGGCACCCCAGGCACCGGCGCGCCCGGCGGGGCACCCCCGCGCCACCGACGGGACACCCTGGCGGGCGGGGGGGGGCGGTCAAACGGCTCTAAGGCACTGAGCCACGGCGGCATCATTCCTCTCGCGCGCCCGCACAGCTTCGCCTTGCCCACACGCGCGGCACAAGCACGAAGCCGAAACCGATTTCCCGCTGGGGCGCTCTCCGTTCCACTGCGACCTCGACCCCAACCTCCGCTGCATGTGTATATCGTCTTATGTATACGTGTGCATGCAGCCATACATGTATGTATGCACGTACACATACAAACACATATTTTTACATATATATACAGACAGTCAACGCGCTCCATAGTCAGGGGGGGCGCCCGCCACACGCCTTTGCGCCACCGCACCTCGTCGCCGTCGTCCTCCTGCTCCTTCTGCCCGTCCCCCTCGTCGCCGGCCCCCTCCTCCGCCTCCCTCCCCTCCCGCCCGTTGCTGCGGCGGCCCTGCTGAGCTGTGGCCGCAAGGCTGGGCGCGCGGAAGTGGCTCCTTTCTCTTCTTCGCGTCCGCGGCCGCGACGGAGCCCGTGGCCTTCATAGACCCGTCGCTGTTGCGGGTCTTGCTCACCCTGCCCCGCCGGTCCCCGGAGGAGGCCCGAGGAGAGCTGCCTCGTGAGAGAGGCGATGCGAATTACGTCGATGGGCGCGTTCACGGCCAGCTCATGGCGCGAAGACGATCACTTTTTCGTCCCGGCGTGGGCGCTCGCTCCATGCCGCAACTAGGGGTGAGGGCGAGGGAGGACGGCAGGAGGAGGGAGGAGGACAAGTGATGACGGGGAGGAGGAGCCGATGAGGGAGGAAAGGAGGGAAGGACCAGGAGGAAGTTCAGGAGAAGGAAGATCAAGAGGAAGAGGGGGAGGACGGAGGAAGAGGAAGGAAGAAACATCGCCGTCATTCCATCAGCATGGTGGGGGAGGGGGCGGACCCTGGACGGGACCCTGGACCATGCACATGTATAGCATGTACAATTTGGAAAGAAAGAAAGTGAGAGTGAGAGGGTGAGAGAGAGAGAGATGGTGAGAGAGAGAGAGAGAGAGAGAGAAAGAGAGATGCAAGACTGCAGTGGCGCTTCGCGCCGCGCACCTTGGTCCTTCAAGTTTGGCATGCAGGCGGAAGGGCAGGGAGGTAAAACAGGCAATGTAGCGATAACGCCTTGTTGCCTTTTCCGACATCTCCGTTATAATAATGTTATTCCTTGTCTTCCTTCATGTTTCCTCTTCCTCTTGGGCCCTTTTGGAGGCCTCCTGGGCGCTTTCTGGGGGCCTCTGGGGGCTTCCTCGGGCCATCCTGCTTCCAACCGCGGTCTCCCTGAACGACAGGGTCACGACTTGGAATGCCTCGGCGGACAACATGGGGCCGTTTTGGGCTGTCATGGGGCTCTCTTCGGGCCATCTTGGAACTTTGTTGTGCCGTCTTGGGGCTTGCCCGGACTGCCTGGAAGCCCTTTCGGATAGTGTTGGGGCGATTTCGAGCTTTCTGGGCGGTCTCGGAGCCTCTTGGGGGTCTTCTTTGGGTCGTCTTCGGGCGTCTGCTGGGTGTCTTGGGCCTCTTGGGACCTTCGGGGGGCCGTTAGGCCGCTCTCCTGGCCGATTGGGGCCCGTTCTCCAGGCCCAGCAGGGGCTTCCAGGAGCTCCGGAAAGCCTGCTGGCCTCCTGCAAGGGCGTCCAAGCAGCCCTGGCACTTAACGGTATTAATCGTCATCGTTGTAGCAGTACTTCGTAGTTGTATTTAGTACTGCTAGGACTTAGGTGTACTAGTACTCATACGAATACTCAGTAGTGGTAGTAGTAGTAGTAGTAGTAGTAGTAGTAGTAGTAGTAGTAGTAGTAGTAGTAGTAGTAGTAGTAGTAGTAGTAGTAGTAGTAGTAGTAGTAGTAGTAGTAGTAGTAGTAGTAGTAGTAGTAGTAGTAGTAGTAGTAGTAGTAGTAGTAGTAGTAGTAGTAGTAGTAGTAGTAGTAGTAGTAGTAGTAGTAGTAGTAGTAGTAGTAGTAGTAGTAGTAGTAGTAGTAGTAGTAGTAGTAGTAGTAGTAGTAGTAGTAGTAGTAGTAGTAGTAGTAGTAGTAGTAGTAGTAGTAGTAGTAGTAGTAGTAGTAGTAGTAGTAGTAGTAGTAGTAGTAGTAGTAGTAGTAGTAGTAGCAGTAGTAGTAGTAGTAGTAGTAGTAGTAGTAGTAGTAGTAGTAGTAGTAGTAGTCGTAGTAGTAGTAGTAGTAGTAGTAGTAGTAGTAGTAGTAGTAGTAGTAGTAGTAGTAGTAGTAGTAGTAGTAGTAGTAGTAGTAGTAGTAGTCGTAGTAGTAGTAGTAGTAGTAGTAGTAGTAGGTATAGTAGTAGTAGTAGTAGTAGTAGTAGTAGTAGTAGTAGTAATAGCAGTAGTAGTATTAGTAGTTATCACGTAGTAGTATAGTAGTAGTAGCAGCAGTAGTAGCATAGTAGTAGTAGTAGTAGTAGTAGTAGTAGTAGTAGTAGTAGTAGTAGTAGCAGCAGGTAGTTAGTAGTAGTAGTAGTAGTAGTAGTAGTAGTAGTAGTCGTAGTCGTAGTCGTAGGTAGTCGTAGTAGTAGTAGTAGTAGTAGTAGTAGTAGTAGTAGTAGTAGTAGTAGTAGTAGTAGTAGTAGTAGTAGTAGTAGTAGTAGTAGTAGTAGTAGTAGTAGTAGTAGTAGTAGTAGTAGTAGTAGTAGTAGTAGTAGTAGTAGTAGTGGTAGTAGACAACCGCATTTTGATAACGGCACGCCCTCAATCAATGCAACGGTTTGCAAATGTTCAAAACTAATGCGCGCGGCGCTCAGGCGAGAACGACAATGTGAAAACGGCCCGCACTCCATCCAATAAACTGTTGCATTTTTAAACAAAAACGAATGTGCGCGGCGCTCAAACGAGAACCACATGTTGAAAACGACCCGCCCTCATCCGTGAAAACTCTTGCAAATTTTTGCAACGAACGCGCGCGGCGCTAAAGCGAGAACCACATATTGAAAACAAACCACCCTCAATCCGTGAACCTCGTGCAAAAATTTAAAACGAATGTGCGCGGCGCTAAGGCGAGAACCGTATTTTCAAAACGACCCCCCCTCAGTCCGTGAAGCTTCTGCCAGCTTTTGAAACGAATGCACGCGGCGCTAAGGCGAGAACCACATGTTTTAAACAAGCCGCCCTCAATTTGTGAAACTCGTGCAAATTCAAAAAAACGAATGTGCGCGGCGCGCAGGCGAGAACCACATGTCCAAAACGACCCGCCCTCTATCCGTGATGCGCCTGCGAGTTTTTTGAACGAATGTGCGCGGCGCGAAGGCGAGGGCAACATGTTGAAAACGAGCCGCCGACAATCCACTGCATTCGGCGCCGCCCCTCGTCAATGAATCGGCCCCCGGACCTATCCGCTGGCGTGCCCTGGCCAGGGGCAGTCTCGGGGCGGGCTCGGCCGTGGCCGCCAGAAGCCTCCCAAAAGCCCCAAGAGGGCCAACCGCGCACAGAGGGCTTCGAGCTTCGAGTCTCGATCGGGGATCGAGGAGCGACCTCTTGGAGGATCGGGGGTCCGAGATCGACTTTTCGGAGGATCGGGGGTCGACCTTTCGGAGGATCGGGGATCGATGTCCCAGCCATGCGACGTCTTGATTTTTCCATACGGGGTCTCTGGTAGTCCCGACCCTTTCCCCAGGACCAGGGTTTCTTCTCATTCTGAATCATTTTTTGACGGTCCCGAGGCCCGGCGAGGAGGCCAAAAACGGTCAAAAAACCTCCCGTCCTGATTTTGTCACGACGCGATCATGTCTGGGATTGTCGGAAGGTCCTCGTCGCCGCGCCTCTCGTCGCCGCCGCTGTCTGCCGTGGGACCTCCCCGCCCCCCTGGCGGGCCAGTCTGAGGCACCGCCCTTCTCCTCCCTGGCGAGGATGTCGCCGAGCCCCTCGCCGCGACGGCGCTGCCGCGGGGACGGGGAGGAGGGAGGGGGAAAGGAGGAGGAGGAGGAGGAGGAGGAGGAGGAGGAGGAGGACGAGGAGGAGCAGGAGGAGGAGGAGCAGAAGGAGGAGGAGGTGGAGGAGGAGGAGGAGGAGGATGAGCAGAAAGAGGAGGAGGATGAGGAGAAGAAGAAGGAGGAGGAGGAGGAGGAGGAGGAGGAGGAGGAGGAGAGGGAGAGGGGGAGGGGGAGGAAGAGGGAGAAGGGGGAGGGGAGGGGGAGGGGGAGAAGGGGAGAGGGAGGAGGAGGGAGGAAGGGGAGAGAGAGAGCAGGAAGGAGGAGGAGGAGGCGTAAGGTAGGGGGAGGGAGGGGAGGAAGGGGAGGTGGAGGCCCGCTCTCGGACGCCTCGGCGCCTCGCACGCGCGGAGTATCAGAGGAGGAGGAGGAGCAGGAGGAGGAGGAGGAGAAGGAGGAAGAGGAGGAGGAGGAGATTAAGGAGGGAGGAGGAACTCATTGGAATATGGCAGCGAGGTCAACCTTCCAAATCTCAAGGTGGTGGCCCATGGGCAGCAGCCAAGGGGCGCTACCACGAACACAAGTCATTTCACTCACATAACCCTGGCAAGCAAACAGTAACCCCCCCGGCGATATCGCTAGCACAGAAAATAAAATAAATAATTATTTTGGGCGGCGCCCTCCGGCGATATCGTTAGCACATAAAAAATAAATAAATAATTAATTACTTAATTAATTTGCCCCCCGGGCCCGAAGCTGGCGGCAACGCGAGGCGACAGCCTGAAGAACCAACGCGCACGAACGCTTGCCAATGCATTCCCGCCTTGCTAGAACACTGGGAAACTGACGCGCATCGGAAATCAAAGGTAAATCAAACATCACAAACAATGAAATCACCGCAAGCAACTATACTTGAAAGGACCCCCCAAAGGAATCCCAGAGGAATCTCAGAAGGAAGCCCACGCAGAATCTCAAAGGATCCCTATTGGAAATTCAAAGTAATCTCAAAGGAACCCCTCAGAAATCGCAAAGGGATCTCAGCGGCAGCTCAAACGAACCACGACGGAATCTAAGGAATCTGGAAAACGCGGGCTCGCGTGGACATAAGCAAACCCTATTGCGGCCGCAATAGGGAAATTGTTTTTTTCACGGGGTCCTATGGGAGAGTCCACGGAGGGATATCGCAGACGGATTCCGCGAACCCCCCCCGCGATATGTTAGCACATTTATTGAAAATAAAATAATCCACAGGCACCGGAGGTCGATGTGATGCTCCCTTCAGGGATTGTCGAAGGAATATCAGAGGAACTTGAAAGAACCCCCAAAGGAATCCCATAATAATATCACAAGGAATCGCACGCATGATATCGAAGGAACCAATGGAAGTTCAAAGCAATCTCAAAGGAGCCCAACAGAAATGTCAAAGGCATCTCAGCGGCAGCTCAAACGAACCACAAAGGAATCTAAGGAATTTGGAAAACGCGGGCTCGCGTGGACATAAGCAATCCCTATTGCGACCGCACTAGGGAAATTGATTCTTTCAGGGGATCCTATGGGAGAGTCCACGGAGAGATTTCGCAGACGCATTCCGCGAACCCCCCCGCGATATGTTAGCACATTTATTACAAATAAAATAATCCACCGGCCCCGGATGTCGATGTTATGCTCTCTTGAGCAATGGGGCATCAAAGGGATATGACCGGAGCCTCGAGGGACCCCCAGAATAACATCAAAGGAACACCAGAGGAGTCTCAAAGGAGTCCCAAAATAATCACATTTTGATTCTTTCAGGGGATCCTATGGGAGAGTCCACGGAGAGATTTCGCAGACGCATTCCGCGAACCCCCCCGCGATATGTTAGCACATTTATTAAAAATAAAATAATCCACCGGCCCCGGATGGGGCATCAAAGGGATATGACCGGAGCCTCAAGGGACCCTCAGAATAACATCAAAGGAACACCAGAGGAGTCTCAAAGGAGCCCCAAAATAATCACAATGGAAACGGCAAGGAATCTCAAAAGAAGCCAATCGGAGTATCAGAGGAATCTCTGAGGAATCTCACAGAAACGCACAGAATCACAGGAAGCGACTCTGGGCAGGTGTGCCTTGTCGCTGGGCTCTGGACTACAAGGGGACCTGGCATTCAGAGGCTTGTGGAGGCCTTTCTGGATGCCTCCTGGGAACCTCCGGGGACCTCCCCTCCGCGGACCTCTGGTGACCTGCGGGGGATATCGCTTCCGCCCCGGCCCCGGTGCCGGAAGCGTTATAATTTCCTCTGATGAAGGGGGGGGGGGGGGAGGGGGGGTTTACTGATTGCTTCCCAGGGTTAAGCATAATCATAAACGTTGTACCACTAATACGGATGCTCGTATCGATATCACGGAGAAGACAAACAATGGTACTGGTAAGCATAAGGTGGGGGCATTCGATCCGGAAACCTTCGATAAGGAATCCAGGGTTTGGAAGCCAGTGGAAAGCCAATCGTGGATTGGCCATGTGTATCACCGCCGCCCTCATCAGATAAGGAATCCTCCAGGGTCTGAAGCCTCCTGGGCACGTTCCTTAACGAACGCCCCCACCGTAATAATAACAATAATGAGGTCCTGGAGGACATCGAACTTAGAGACGTTTGGCCCATCCAGGAGGTCTCGCGAGGCCTTCTGGTGGACGAGCACAGCGGTGCCCCGGGATGGCCGGGGGGGCGCTGGGGCAAACTCCGGGAGACGACGGGGGGATGCAGGGGGGAGAGGAGACCACGGGGGGAGGGCGTGACTGCCGTGGGGGCGCTGGAGAGGGGCCGATACCTTACCAGCCTGGAACATATCCCTATCCCTAAGCTGGGCATCGCCTCATCACAATGCCAATCTTAGGGATTCCCTGGGTTTTTCAGGGCGCATCCCTAAGACCTAAGATTGTCATCGCCTTTTGGCGTGTCAATCTTAGGGATAGGGATGAGTTCGAGGCTGGTGAATACCCAGCAGGCACCTGCGCAAACAGAAGCTGTCGGAGCTCCACGAGGATTCCGCCCGGCGGCGCCTCCGGCACACCGCCCCTGGCGAGCCCCTCGCGCCACGGGGGGGGCACCGGGGGCCGGTCCGAGAGATCCGCGCGGCCCTCAGGCAATTCAGTTACTGTCTGTGGTTCTCCGATGGGCACCTGGGTTCGAAAGCTGGGCGAAGGCTGCTAAAACCGTGGCTGCCAAAACGGCCCTCCCGGAAAGAAGAAGCAACTTCCCGGAATGAGGCGCGGCACGCGAAGCAGTCAACGGGCTTCTTCCCGGAAGGACGAAGACAACTTCCTGGAGGTCGTTTTTAGTTTAGCAGCCCTTGCCCGGCTTCCGATGGGTGCAGCCTGCGACGTACCTCCCTGACGCCCCAGAGATCCTCCGCGGAATTGCTGGGCGGGGGGATGAAGGGGGTGGATTAATCAGGTAGGGCGAGGTTGATGCCATGATGCGATTGGCTCAGGATACGCTCCAAGATTTACAGAACGTCTTGAAGCCCTCGTGTCTGGAATCCGTGCGGAACACGATGAAATCTGGAGTATCCGGGAAATCTTAGAACGTATCGTTATCATTACTTCTTACTCCTCTGCTGGGGAATGCGTGCCACCAGTGCAGCCAATCACCGACGTCGGGCCAAGGCATTTTTCCATGCACGGGCATCCTGGGGACCTACAGGCCGAAAATCGTGACACAACAAAAGCACACGATTCTGATCAGCGAATGCAGGCAACTATCAAGTTTGCTGAACCGACTGCAGGTATGCTATGGCCCAAGTGCTGTCACACGTCGACAACATCGCTAAAACCACTCAACATCATGCACATCGAAACGTAAGGTTAGACCCAACTCGTGATTTGAAGGACGCGTGCGGTTCTAAGATGGCTTCCTGGCGTCTGCTCCAAATGCGAAAACCGGCAAACATCACCAGGACCGCAAAAGAATTGACCGCCCATCTGCCAAAAATTCCCTTTCCCGGGTAACGGCTGCTCAATTTTTGCAGCAATAGTACCTGGCCGTGTGAGAGACTTAAGAGCAGTAGGCAATGCAGAAAGAATGGCGTTTGGACTTAGAAAATCGACGAGCGACCCATCACGAAGCGGTAGAGCTTTGAAAACTGCAGAATCCTCAGACACATACAGGTGCGTTACTGGGAAGTGCTTGTGAAACAGAGCCGCGTCTTCAAGGGAACCATTACCCAAGACAACGATGCTTGACTTATTCCGCGCTGCCACTGGCTCGAGATCCAGTGCGCACGATGCAGCTTCCTTCGAACATACTCAGCCAAGATGCCGGATTACCCACAGGAGCACGCTCTGCTCGGCCCACAGCGCAGTCACCGGCACAGCGGGGCCACCGTGGACGGGTCTCACCAAAGAACTCTGAAGACCAGGCCAAAAGGGTTCCGCCGTGGTAGCCAATAACTTGCTATCGACTCCTCGTCGCCGTGCACATTGCTTAAGCATCAGAAGCGGGTGTCGACCAAACAACCGCAGCATCGCAGGCACTACGAATAGCAACGTGCCACACGCTTGAGCCAGAAGTTGTAATCGATATCTGTTGATGTGTATGGGCATTTGTTGTAGACATGCTTGCTTTAGCAAGCCAGGGCGCCTTCACATGTACCACCACCAACCAATATTGAGGGAATGGGCCCGACAAACTCAGCGTCAACCGCCCGATCGACAAAAGCTATGCTCAACCGACCCTGCAAAAAACCAACATACAGTCGGGCGACCTCCGAATACAGAAAAGCAACCCACTGGACAACCGATTTGCCAACCAGACATATCTGTATGGGGATCAGAACGAAGGGTCCGAGCGGTCTTATATTCTTCCTGGGTGCTTGGCCGACGTGCGGTTCCGTGGTGTGGATTGATGATCTCGCTGCGGGCCCCGCACAACGACCCACCCCGCCCCGCGACCCGCCTTCCGCGGCCCTCCCGCGACCCGCCCCGCGACCCACCTGCGAGCAATCACCAGCCCGAGAC